CAGTGGGGATGAGGTTTTGATGTTGGTGTGCTGTGCCTTTTTTTTCTCACACATAGTGTTGTGTGTTCTTCCCAAACAACTCAATCTTGGTGTCATCTGTCCACAGTATATTTTGCCAGTAGTGCTGTGGGAACATCCAGGTGCTCTTTTGCAAACTTCAAACGTGCTGCAATCTTCTTTTTGGACAGCAATGGCTTCCTCCGTGGTGTCCTCCCATGTACTCCATTCTTGTTTAATGTTTTCCTTATTGTAGATGTGTCAACAAAAATGTTAGCATGTGCCAGAGATTTCTGTAGGTCTTTAGCTGACACTCTGGGATTCTTCTTTACCTCATGCAGCATTCTGCGCTGTGCTCTTGCAGTCATTTTTACAGGACGACCACGCCTTGGGAGAGTAGCAACAGTGCTAAACTTTCTCCATTTGTAGACAGTCTGTCTTACCGTGGACACATGAACATCAAGGCTTTTGGAGATACTTTTGTAACCCTTTTCCAGCTTCATGCAAGTCAACAATTCTTGATGGTAGGTCTTCTGAGAGCTCTTTTCTGCGAGGCATGGTTCACATCAGACAGTGCTTCTTGAAACCAGTAAACCCAAAACAGGTGTGTGTTTTTTAAGGGCAGGACAGCTGTCAGCAACACATCCAATATCATCACACTGATTGGAGTCAAGGTTGGCTCACTCCTGGCTCCAATTAGTTCTGGGAGAAGTCATTAAGCTAGGGCTTCACATACTTTTTCCTCCCTGCACTGTGAATGTTTACATGTTATGTGCAATTAAACCATGGCAACATCTATGTTTGTGTAGTATTATGTTCAGCAGACTGTGTTCTTCTATTGTTGTGACTTAGATGACGTTCAGAGCACATTTTATGCCCAATTCATGCAAAACTCCACGTAATCCCAAGGGGTTCACATACTTTTTCTTGCAACTGTATGACTACCCTGATTCGTATCCTCTTCGTGCACTCTGAGTCTAGCTTCTATAGTCTTAACTTCCTTCTGCCTTTCCAGACTTTTCATTTCAGCTTCCATTTTATGGCGCTGAGCTTCCATTTCCTGGCGCTGAGCTTCCATTTCCTGGCGCTGAGCCTCAATGGCAGATTCCATCTCTACTTCTGCTCGTTTGGCAGCGAGTTGTTCAGCTAATTCCTTTCTTTTGGCTGATGTACTTGAGAACTCTGTTATGTGGCTGGCGCTTCTGCTAGTGATGGAAGTCAGACTTGAGATTGTGGTTCCTCCTAAGGACCTAGCATAGTCTTTCATGAAGAGCTCATTCATTCTCTTTCGGGCCTTGACTTCATCATAATTTGCTGCAGATGATAGTTCTCTCATAAGCATCACTAAATCCCTAGTGACTGCGGTACATGTATCCATGTTCCTTACAGTATCCTGGGAGGGTGTCAAGGACGACCGCAAGTTGACATATGCTATCATAAGCTCTGACTCAGAATCTTCTACCGTCTCTATTATTTCACTCAAATTCTCCTTTCCGCTTTCTTGTTTTAGCTTTCTGCGCGAATGTCTATGGTGTATACTTTCCACCTCTCATACATTCGGGCAAACTTTTTTTTCTTTCAGTGTTGCCTCTTGCTCCAAATTTTCTAGCACCTTTTGGGTCGGTTTTCTGTCCCGTGATGAACGTCTTAGTTCACCTGTTTCAGCTATATTTGTTTGGGGCGAGACTACCGTTTCATTGCACCTTTCAGATTCAGACAGGTTCTCTTGCTCTTCACCTTCTACCATATCTATCATTGCATCCGCTAACAGTGGGGGTGGCAATGCTAGGCTCAGCCATTTCTGAATGCTATAACAATTAATATGAATAATACGGACCTGTCACTTTAAATGGAATACTAACAAATGCAAGAATAAATGACTTTCACTTTACATGTAATAGCACCAAAACGCAGGCAATAAATGACTTTTACTTTAAAATACATCAAAGTCATATACTATAACTGTCTCTCTTCTCTTTTTTTTTTTTTTTATTAAAAGTCTGTATTCTCTGAGCAAAAAAATGTCTCTTGCAGAAACCTATGTGCATAAGTGAGTAATAAAGGAAAGCTCTGACCTTAATTGAAAAGCAGGATACCGTGATCTGAGGGTTGCAGAAACAAACGTCAGTCTTAAAGGAGACTTTTCTTTTCTTGATGCGGTGACTTGCGATGCTCTGCCGTGACTTTGCAATGCTCTGCGGTGACTTTGCGATGCTCTCCGGAGACTTTCGATGCTCTGCGGTGACTTTGCGATGCTCTGCAGTGACTTTGTGATGCTCTGCGGTGACTTTGCGATTAGTATCGTGAACTCTCTGGATGCAACACGTGGGCTCTTGATGGATAGCGGTGCGGGCACTCTAGCTCTGGAGTCTGGCCCTCCCCCCATGCATCTCTTTCTCTCTCTAGGGGTGCAGGAGGTTTGGCGCTCTTTCTCTGACTGTCTTGCCTTTGCCGTTATGCCACTTTAAGAGTCGGCTGCAGTCAGACCAATGCGCACGTGCTATGGCCTGTACTGTTGTTCCACTGAGGTGTCTCCGCGTGGCGGTATATGATGGTGCTCTGTTTCTCTAGTGTACTCTTTACTGTGCAGTTGAGGAGCGCTGTTGCTTGACCTCTGAGGGTAATAGTTCCACTGTGGCAGGCGCAGCACTATGCAGTGCCTTGTGCGCTGTGGCATTAGAAAAATTATGCAATTGCTGTTTCTTTTGTTTGACTAGATTGACTTTACTCTGTAATTTTCCTCCAATGCCGCTCTATGGATGCAGGAGGTTTAAAGAGCACAACCGAATACTTTAGTTAACTTCTTTAATAACTTCAATCTTCTTCATATAACAGCTTACAATGGCTTGTTTTGTTTATCTTACAGTGACTTATTTCTTTCATATTACAGTGGTTTGATTCGGTGGATTATATCGATAACTTATTTTGTTCTGTATATTTCGCATTACAGTGGGTTAATTCAATTATTTTATCTCGGTAGATTCGGTGGAACTACAAGTAAACACACACAACAGATTTTACATACAAATCTACTGCATTGCTAAACAACAGAGGAACACACAAGTGCATTAAATACCTATTTGGCCTTCTCTGCCTCCATAAAGCTTCTCTGACTGGAACTTTGTCTGTTTCCTCCTCTGTCTGGTGAGCAAGTGTCTCTAGAAACTCCTAGCAGGGAGTTTTACACAGGCATAGATGTGAAACTGGCTGGGATTGGTTAAGGCTCTGTACAGTGTGAGGCTGTCTGTGATTGGCTCACCTATATACTAACTCTTAAAGGCATATTTTCCTTTTCTGCTTCTGCTAACACAATGAATATATAAATGTCATATAACAATCAAAGACATAAATTACAGCAATGATTCTGCTTTTGGCTTTAACATATACACATATACACTGTACTGAGGTTATTGGCAGGTTTGGTATACACATATATGTGAACCATATTAACAACCTAGGACCGGTCTTAGCTGGCCAGCTACACGCGCTCCCTGGGAGTGCGCAGCACCGCAATCCGGACACAGTAAAACACCGATCGTCGGACGGGACCTCTGTATGAGGTCCCGATCATGTGATCACTGATTGGCCAATCAGTGATCACATGCAAAGCAGTAAGCAAGATGTCACTTGTGACATCATTGCTTACTACGTGTGAAATCTGTGAATGATCACAGAGGTCACATGGTACAAGGCTATTCACAACAGCATTGTACCATGTGACAAGCTCTGACCAATCACAGCTCACACAGTATTTCTCAATGGCCACAAGAATGCAGACAGAGAGAAAGAGAAATGATTGCTTTTTACATCCTATATGGGTGTAAAAGCAATCAGTGTAAAAAAAAAAATAAAAAAAAAATTCATCACCCCCCACAAGTAGTACAGTGTCATCATGGTGACACTGTACTGCTAGGGTGACAGTATGTTAAAAAAAAAAAAAAAAACATAAATAATAATATAAAAATGTAAAAAAAAATGTTTAAAAATTATAATTTTTGGTTATAAACTAATTTGGCGTATTTTTTTTTTTTTACTAATAAGATAACGGAATTAATATTGGGCAAGATTTATGATGAAATATATTATTTATTTGCAAAATTTTATAAGAAAAACACTTTTTTAAAAAATTTTGAACATTTTCATTTACATAGCAAAAAAAATTAAAATCCCAGCGGTGAATAAATACCACCAAAATAAAGCTTTATCTGTCTCAAAAAAATGGTAAAAAATTAATATCGGTACAGTGTTGCATGACCGCGCAATTGTCATTCAAAGTGTGATAGCGCTAAAAGCTGAAAATTGCCCTGGTCAGGAATGGGGGGGGGGGGGGGGGGGAAATGTCCGGACAGGAAGTGGTTAAAACATTGCGCTGCTCAAGATCCAAGCCTTAGGCTTCCTCTGATCCCGAAGATCCTTCCCCGGTCTCCAGGGGGAGCTCTTCTCTGCTAACAGGAACATCCATCTGTTGCTGCTGATCCTCCTGCCGAGAGCTACCAAGATCCTCCTCCCACATAAAGGAAGAGGGAGGGGCCACTACCCCAAAAAACACCTACTAAAGGAACATTCACTAAGTAAAGGGAAACCCCAACTTCCACATGCCTACATGCTGGTGTCAGTGAGAGGCTGAATGGGCTATTATGGGGGATTTACAAAACAATAAAAGAATCAAATGTAACCTTTCTCTTTCTATTATATTTGCTGCAGTGTACAAATGTATCTCTTTCCTTCAGTGTGACAATGATCATTAAGAAACGCAATACGCCTGAACTGAGGACTATATTGAAGAATGCCGAAGAACTGACAGGTACTGACATATATCTCACATGTATATACTTGGCAGAGTCTGATTTCTTTGTAGGAGGCAAGAAGTGTTGTTTCTGCTCAACTGGACACCGGCATAGTGACTATTATATACAATAGCTTCTAGTAGAATGTCCCTAGCTTTTACCAAGTTCCTACAGAGATACATGTGCTCAGCTCAAGAATGGTTGGAATCCCTCATAATGGGCACAGCAGGTGTACAGACTCAGGAACTCAACACAGGGATGGTGGGAACCCCTCATAATAGGCACAGCAGGTGAACAGACCCAGGAACTCTGCACATGGATAGTTTGAACCCCTCATAATGGGCACAGCAGGTTTACAGACCTGGGAATGTAGCACAGGGATGGTGGGAACACCTCATAATGGGCACAGCAGGTGCACAGACTCGGGAACTCAGCACAGGGATGGTAGGGACCCCTCATAATTGGCACAGCAGGCATACTGACCCAGAAACTCAGCACAGAGATGGTGGGAACCCTTCATAATGGGCACATCAGGTATACAGACCCAGGAAATCAGTGTAGGGCAACACAGGTGAACAGACTTTGGACCTCAGGAGAAGGATGGTATTACCCCTCATAATTGGCACAATAGGTGTACAAACCCGGGAACTCAGCACAGGGATGTTGGGAACCCTCATAATGAGCACATCAGCTATACTTACCCAGGAAATCAGTGTAGGGATGGTGAGAAGCCCCCATTATAGGCAAAACAGATGAACAGACTTTGGACCTCAGCACAAGGATGGTGGTAACCCCTCATAATGGGCACTGCAGGTGTACAGATCCAGGAACTCAGCACAGGAATGGTAGGAACCCCTCATAATGGGCACAGCGGGGGTACAGACCCGGGAACTCGGCACAGGGATGGTGGGAACCCCTCATAATGGGCACAGCGGGGGTACAGACCCGGGAACTCAGCAAGGGGATGGTGGGAACCCCTTATAATGGGCACAGCGGGGGTACAGACCCGGGAACTCAGCATAGGCATGGTAGGAACCCCTCATAATGGGCACAGCCGGTGTACAGACCCGGGAACTCAGCACAGGCATGGTAGGAACCCCTCATAATGGGCACAGCGGGGTGTACAGATTCGGGAAGAGAGTGCAGAGATCTCACCAATGTAGCCCATAACATTTAGAACAAAATTTCAGCTAATTTAACTTTTCAGCATCTACAAAGCAGTGAGCTATCCATTAGAGGCAGACTGTTCCTGTAATTCCATTGGGTGCAGTCCTTTCCATTTCAGTAAAAGCAGATTGTTGGTGAGCAGTGCTGGCTGTATGGGGAATATGCAATGTGTTGTTCTGCCCAGCAGAGTTCTATGCAGGACCCGAAAAAATCCAAATGCTATTTTTCTTCCCAGGAATCAAACCATTTGTGGTTCTGACACATAAATCTACGGGGAGATTGACTGAAATAAAACACATATTCCGGGATATGGGAATAAATTACATATTCGAGGTGGAGAATTACACTCAGAAGAAACACAATAAAGTGCGAGCCACCCATGAGGAGATCCTGAGGTTCCTCTATGAAGTTCTGAAGGATGTTGCATGCCGCATGGAGGAGTTGAGAAATCCCGAACAAGAGAGGGCTGATCGCAAGAAATTTCTACTGGATTTTTCACATGAAAGAGAGATGGAGATAAAGATAAACCAGGAAAGGCAACAAGCCCAGCAAGAGGCAGACAATACGTGGTGCTCAATATTGTGAGTCACAGATGGAGCAAGGAGACCACATCTGGGCATTACGTTATGATCAACAATGATGTACGGTTTACGTAATGGGATACAGATTTAGGAGACATCAAAAATTTTTATCAAATCTGATTTTGAGGTGAAATTTAAGATTTCCTGTTCACTTAACTTGCTTTCTAATTTATAAAAACAAAAATTAAACAGCGCGGAAAGCAAATAATACACGTCCCAAATGCTTAGAAATGTGCTAAAATATATGTCAAGTGCAAAAAATGTATATCAAACTCCAAAACTGAGCATGCGTCCTACAAAACGTCAAACTGGGAGGACTAAAAAAGGAGGTGTGAAAAAAAAATGTCTGTTGTTGCTTTCTAATGTAACCTAGCAGCACTGCATGGAAATTTGTTTAAAGCTGAATTTAAAAAAATGCTATTGAAATGCTGTGTATTCCTCATTAGTCACAAAGGATATAAATCCACTTAGTATGCAACAAAAGCTTTTACAAATAAAACAAGTTACTTTTTCCAATTCCATTTCTTAAATCAGTAATAAAATAGAGCAATACACAGGGACAGAGAATATATTAAAATGTACCATCCTTGAAAAATATATTGGAACAAAAAAAAACACCTATACACCACCACAATGGATTTGAAATGAAACGAACAAGATGTGCTTTAACTGCAGACTGTCAGCTTTAATTTGAGGGTATTTACATCCAAATCAGGTGAACGGTGTAGGAATTACAACAGTTTGCATATTCCCCTCCCCTGTGTTAAGGGACCAAAAGTAATGGGACAATTGGCTTCTCAGCTGTTCCATGACCAGGTGTGTGTTATTCCCTCATTATCCCAATTACAATGAGCAGATAAAAGGTCCAGAGTTCATTTCAAGTCTGCTATTTTCATTTGGAATCTGTTGCTGTCAACTCTCAAGATGAGATCCAAAGAGCTGTCACTATCAGTGAAGCCATCATTAGGCTGAAAAAACAAAACAAACCCATCAGAGAGATAGCAAAAACATTAGGCGTGGCCAAAACAACTGTTTGGAACATTCTTAAAAAGAAGGAACGCACCGGTGAGCTCAGCAACACCAAAAGACCCGGAAGACCCACGGAAAACAACTGTGGTGGATGAGCGAAGAATTCTTTCCCTGGTGAAGAAAACACCCTTCACAACAGTTGGCCAGATCAAGAACACTCTCCAGGAGGTAGGTGTATGTGTGTCAAAGTCACCAATCAAGAGAAGACTTCACCAGAGTGAATACAGAGGGTTCACCACAAGATGGAAACCATTGGTGAGCCTCAAACACAGGAAGGCCAGATTAGAGTTTGCCAAACGACATGTAAAAAAGCCTTCACAGTTCTGGAACAACATCCTATGGACAGATGAGACCGACATCAACTTGTACCAGAGTGATGGGAAGAGAAGAGTATGGAGAAGGAACTGCTCATGGTCCTAAGCATACCACCTCATCAGTGACCATGGTGGTGGTAGTGTCATGGCGTGGGCATGTATGGCTGCCAATGGAACTGCTTCTCTTGTATTTATTGATGATGTGACTGCTGACAGAAGCAGCCGGATGAATTGTGAAGTGTTTCGGGAATATTATCTGCTCATATTCAGCCAAATGCTTCACAACTCATTGGACGCTTCACAGTGCAGATGGACAATGACCCAAAGCAGACTGCAAAAGCAAGCAAAGAGTTTTTTAAGGGAAAGAAGTGGAATGTTATGCAATGGCCAAGTCCATCACCTGACCTGAATCTGATTGAGCATTTCACTTGCTGAAGACAAAACTGAAGGGAAAATGCCCCAAGAACAAGCAGGAACTGAAGACAGTTGCAGTAGAGGCCTGGCAGAGCATCACCAGGGATGAAACCCAGCGTCTGCTGATGTCTATGCGTTCCACACTTCAGGCTGTCATTGACTGCAAAGGATTTGCAACCAAGTATTAAAAAGTGAAAGTTTGATTTATGATTATTATTCTGTCCCATTACTTTTGGTCCCTTAACAAGTGGGAGGCACATATGCAAACTGTTGCAATTCCTACACCGTTCACCTGATTTGGATGTAAATACCCTCAAATTAAAGCTGACAGTCTGCAGTTAAAGCACATCTTGTTCGTTCATTTCAAATCCATTGTGGTGGTGTATAGAGCCAAAAATGTTAGAATTGTGTCCATGTCCCAATAATTAATGGACCTGACTGTATATTATACATGATATCTCACACATAGAGCGGGCTTTCACCCTCTATGTAAGGAAAGGATAACATATACGTTGAGAATATCTGCCTTAAAAACATTGAACAAAAAAGTCTCCCTATATGTCGTCTGATCTGGCTATGTTTGGGGCAAAGAAAGACACAGTCATACATCTTTGCCAATACATTTGCACATTGTATGGACATAGCAAAGTTGTCAGCTTCTTATTATGTTATAATAAATAATAATAATAATAATAACAAAATAAGCAAAAACACTGTGGGCCTTGCAGTGGGGACAGTTATTACAATTTCTATAATGCATCACTAGAGGGGTCACCGGCAGAGAGGAAGGAGGTCCTGATTCCTCTATATAGATCCTATCACTAGAGGGGTCACCAGGCAGGAGGAAAGGAGGTTCCTGATTCCTCTATATAGATTCTTCATATCACTAGAGGGGTACCACCGGTAGGGAGGAATGGAGTCCTGATTCCTCTATAAGATCTTTTATATCACTAGAGGGGTCACCCGGCAGGAGGAAGGAGGTTCTTATTCCTCTATATAGATCCTAATCACTAGAGGGGTCACCGGCAGGAGGAAGGAAGGTCCTGATTCCTCTATATAGATCTTTATATCACTTAGAGGGTCACCGGCAGGAGGAAGGAGGTCCTGATTCCTCTATATAGATCTTTATATCACTAGAGGGTCACCGGCGGGGAAGGAGGTCCTGATTCCCCCCCCCCCCCTCTATATAGATCTTTATATCACTAGAGGGGTCACCGGCTTGGAGGAAGGAGGTCCTGATTCCTCTATATAGATCCTATCACTAGAGGGGTCATCGGCAGGAGGAAGGAGGTCCTGAATTCCTCTATATAGATCCTATCACTAGAGGGGTCACCGGCAGGAGGAAAGAGGTCCCGATTCCTCTATATAGACCTTTATATCACTAATGGGGGTCACCGGCAGGAGGAAGGAGGTCCTGATTCCTCTATATAGATCTATATATCACTAGAGGGGTCACCGGCAGGTAGGAAGGAGGTCCTGATTCCTCTATATAGATCTATCACTAGAGGGGGTAACCGGCAGGAGGAAGGAGGTCCTGATTCCTCTATACAGATCTTCTATATCACTAGAGAGGTTCACCGGCAGGAGAAGAGAGTCCTGATTCCTCTATATAGATCTTTTATATCACCCAGAAGGGGTCACCGGCCAGGAAGGAAGGAGGTCCTGATTCCTCTATATAGATCTTTATATCACCAGAGGGTGTCACCGGCAGAGGAAGGGAGGTCCTGATTCCTCTAATAAGAGATCTTTATATCACCAAGAGGGGTCACCGGGCCAGGAGGAAGGAAAGGTCCTGATATCCTCTATATAGATCTTTTATATCATTAGAGGGGTCACCGGAGGCAGGAGGAAGGCTGGTCCTGTATTCCTCTATATAGATCTTTATATCACTAGTTATTCTAGAAGGGGTCAACCGAGAGCAGAGGAAGGAATCCCGAATTCCCTCTAAATGTAGATCTTTATATCACTAGAGGGGTCACCAACAAGAGGAAGGAGGTCCTGATTCCTCTATATAGATCTATATATCACTAGAGGGGTCACCGGCAGGAGGAAGGAGAGACCTGATTACTCTATTCTACAGGATCTTTAGTTTAACCGATCATTTAGAATACTGTGTTTCAGTTATGGAGGTCTCACTTACAAAAAGATATTGATCAGCATAGAACAGGTCCAGAGAACAAAAAGGTGAAAGTCTGGAGGGATAAAACATATCAAGGAGGCGACTTCAGGAACTTGGACATGTACAGTCTGAGGCAAGAAAGGAAAGAGGTGAAGGAAAAAAAGTGAGGAGACATGACTGAAATCTTTAAATACATCAATGGGGGTGAATAAGGTTCAGGAGGGCAGGATTTTTCAACACAAAACCAAAACCAAAATCAAGAACTACACTCGGTGAACATGACCAAACTGGAGGAAAGTTCAAAACTAGTCTCAGAGAGTACCCATCTTACTGCAAGAGTAGTCAACAGTAAATGGCAAATGTCTTCAAACATGCTCGGAACAAGCATAGATCAATACTCATGACAAATAAAAAAAAAGAA